AACTTAACTACCCTTCAATTTTTTTGGGTCCCTAATTGTTACACTCATATTGGCAAAAAATATAATTGACTTCTAACTTCTAAAGAAAGTGTGTCTTAATGTCTTGAGTCACAAATTGAAATTCGACCGACTTACATGGATGGATGCTAATTAGGGGAACTACTACTTATTCATAAAAGATCCACAAACCTTCATATATATATATATATTCTAAGTTAAGTGACTTCCTAAAATCAGTTTGTAAAGAGAGGAAGCCTATCGTAAACTCCAAACTATGTTTTAGCTTAGCCATATGAGACACAATTAGGATTATTGGACTAATCGATACGCAAGGGCGGCGGGGGGGAGAGACTAACCATTTTCGGGAGCCTTAACTCGTGCAGAAACAGCAAACCAGACTCTTCTAACAGGGAAGACCATTTTATGCCACCACTCCATCGCCTTTATCTTCACCTTCTGCCGCCACTTCCCACCGCCGATTCGACTCAACACCACCCTTTTTCCGGCCAGACCGATATTCTCTCTATTCTAACCCCCTCCTTTTTACAGTTTTACTCAAGAGAAACTGCGTTTGGTTTTCCACTGCATGCAAAAGAAAACGCACGCAGTAGAGTGAGAGATATAAAGCTCTTGACTCTTCAGAGTCGAGAGAGAGAGAGAGAGAGAGAGAGAGAGAGAGAGATAGTTATGCACTGCTTAATGGTAGCGAAGAATGATACTTTAACCATTTGATCGCTTGGTAGCTGGGAATGGATTATTAATACAATTGATCTATACACCGACACGTGAAGCTATTGGTGGGTTTTATAATCTTTTCAATTAGTCAGTCACGTTTTGACACGTGGTCATGTGGTTGAGATTTCTTGTCTTTTGACTTTTTTATTTTTTTCCCCCTTAACAAATTTAACTCTGATGGAGGTGAGAGGATAATTTTTTATTTTTATTTTTTAAAAAGGTTTAAAATGTTATTATTTTTTCAAAGTAGGGTGATCTCACATGTGGTGTCTAGATCTTGGGGGTGGGAGTAGAGATTTTCTTATTGCATTAGTTACGACTCGTATCCTCAACGTACATTTAAAGATATACAATAAAGTAATCGAATATAATTTTGAAAAATAACTTTATATTTATTTCACATCACTAAGGCCTCATATTCCAACAAGTAATTCAATGGTGGTAATTTTTACACACATAAAAACCATTACATTATAGTATCAAAAAAAATTAATATGATATCGTTCTTATGAAAATTTCAATTATCTAATTGTCACGTGACTCATGTTTACCAAATCACATTATTAATGAAATTTATGTTTAATAATTTAGTCTCTTTAATGCAAATTGGTTTGGGTGAGTGTTGGTAGCCGCCTGGTCCACGTGGCCGAATCAAAGTGTGAATCGCACCACTGAAAATTGAAATAGATAGGCAGCCAATAATATAGCGACAGGTAAAAGATCAGAGGTTACTTTTGTCTTTTTAACCATATCTTCTCTTTTATCTTTAGCATAAAGCAAAAAAATATGAACTTTGGATCAAGTATTTGCCCCTCATTTTAAGGCAGGCTAATTTTTTTTTTTTTTTTTTGACGAATATAATCCTTATTACAAGATATATTAACTAATGAAATGTTAAATGCTACTAGTCTATTTAGACACAAGATTTCTTAATTTCTGCAAAGATTCCGTATGAACATTCTAGTCAAATTATGCAAAATTGGGAAGAGTTCGAATCTATTTAGATGTTCTATTCTTTATTATAATTACAATATAATCATTTTTCAGGAGTGAATGGATTCGTAGAATAAATATTTTGATCGAGAAAAAATGTTGCATGACCATAAAATCAAGTTAACACAATTTTATAATCGGCCTTGTCTTAAATTGAATCAGCGATATCATTCAATTAATTTTTTGGCATTACATTTTATGAGAACTACAATTTTTTATATATTTTTTAATCATACATTATTCTAAAAAATTACTTTTGTCTTAAAAAAATTTGTGCCAAACAAACTTTAAAAAGACAAGATGGGAGAGGCTCTCTTTATTGCTTCGTCAAGTTCAACTAAAGCGTTAGTGCAAGACAAGTCACCATGATAGCTTTTGGAGTCTCCAAGCTTCTTTGTGCCTAACATTGATGACCACTCCTAGGGCCTATTTACGAAAATATCTTTCGAATTAAAATAATCGTAAGTACACGATTCGTTAATAAGTAGTAAAATGAATTTTAAGTGCAAGTATCGTTCCCACATGGATTGTGCTAGTTCAAGTACAAATTAACTCGGCCATAACCCAACAATTGAAATTTGTGATTTTTTTAATATATTAATAATCTACTTATGAATGCAAAACCTAACTTAATTAAAAAGAAATGCTAGATTATAATTAAATGCGAGTTTTATAAAAATATGATAATGAAAAGTGTACTAGGATTCCAAATGAGTAATGTTATTTAGGATGATGTATTCAATTGAGACTTTTTGAGACTCTCTATAGACTTTTAAAAAGTCTTTAAAAGTTACGGTATATTCAATTAAAATTTTTTAGAAGTCTTTATAAGTCTTACAATATTCAAATTTTAATGACTTCTAGAGACTTTTATAAAAGTCTCTGACGTACTAATTTTTAAGCAGAAAGTACTCATATAATATTTTAAAATTTGTCTCTCATTAATCACGAGATTTTGGGAGACTTTCACACAAAAAAAAAAAAAAACTTTTTTTTTCAATCTTTCTTTTCTTTAATCTTTTATGAACATGTATTAAAACTTATTTTTTTATTTATTATATTCCATTTATTTTTCTTTCTCTCTTATTATTTATCTCTATTTCTATAAAAAAAAATTAAATTGGATTCTTATAACTTTTTTTTTCTTTTTTCATTCATTTTTTGAGAAAAATACCTATTTTTTAATTAAATTATGAAAAATTATAATTAAATTTAAATATATTTATTTTTTAAAGTTACTATACTAATAATATTGAATCATATATAATTTTGATTATTATTTGTTTAATTAAGGTCTTAAATTTATTTTTTTTTCAATTTTTTTATTATATGGGAAGAAGAAGGAGAATTGTGGGAACTAACACCCTATATGCGAGAATTTCACACCAAATCTACGTGAATTCTATTTCAGAGAACTAACATCTCGTATGTGAAAATCTCACACCTGATCCGTGTGAATTCTATTTCAAATGAAAGTGTTCAAAAGTCTTTTAAATTCCACAAAAGTCTATAAAATTTTAAAATGAAAATTCATAGAAGTCTACGAAAGACTTCCACTAATTCCATACAAATCTTT